GGCCATAGCAGCCCAGCCCTACTTGGGTCCAGTCGAGCGATGCGGTGGGTTTGTTTGGGCAGTGGGGGCTACCCCAACACCGAAACCTACCACTCCCAAATAGCCTATCCGGGAGGCTCAGTGGAGCGATGTCAGCACGCAAAACAAAGCAGTCTGTGGCTACTTTCAACCGCACTCCTGGTTGGGAGTTCGTGCATTTTCCGAGGTTCGCAGCCCCATCCGTGGTGGGCTCAGCCGCGGCCCGGCGCCCCCCACCGGGCTTCCTAGAGCTCTCGGGTGTGCTGCTAGAAACTCGCAGAGATTGGAGCTGAGAAAAGGCGGGCAAAGTTCCTTTTGATAAGTTATGAATGGGGAGAAAGTGTTCCTAGAACTCATTGTTAAAACCACTGAGGCGGAACCTCAGCCGGCGCCGGGCCAATCGGCGCCGGGAGGCTATTTTGAAATCGCTCCAGCCTTAGCCAATAGGCGTGCGAGAGGTGCCACCCCCGCGCCAGCGTCGGCCAATGAGCGCGGCTCTATGCTAAGGAGCCCGGGGCCAGCTCCTCAGACTGTCAGTGGGTTAAAGATGGAGCCGGCTAGCGAGGGGGCCCCACGAGGTGCGGGGTCGTCTGGATGCTGACCACCAGCTCGGACGATGGCGAGGACTCCCCTCTCACTGACCTTAGGTGGGTTGCCCGGATCCTGGGCGAAAGGGGTGTCAGTCTGCGTGAGTAGCTGGGTCTGGGGTAGGGTGTGTGACTAGGATGGCCCTACATTGCGGGACGTACGGAGGGGCGCTGCCGAGACCCCGGGAGCCCTCTCTGGGCAAGGAACTCCAGAAGAGTGCGGAACCCCCCCATTCTTCTGTTCCACTTTGGGCCTCCGGGCAGAAGAGTCTATTAGGACAGAACAAGGAGGCTATGTGGGGGGCGCAGGAGCCAGGGATGGGGCCCCGAGCGAGAAGAGGCGCGTTGTCCCGGGGTGGGGCGGCCTTTCTTCTCTCGGAGCCGCGGGCTGACTCAGGGCGCAGGGTCGTCGGGCTGTACCCACCTGACTCTGGGAGCTAGCGGGCTTTGGACTGAGGGTGAGCGCGGGCCCTCTCCTTTGTGTGGGCGCTCTCTCCCACGTCTGCCCCTCAGCTCCTGTTGTGGGGTTGGAACTACCCTTCAGTCTAAGGTTTCTCCTGTAAGGCAATCCGGAGCGTGCTAGCAAAGGCCTGAGTGCCATGAGGTTCTGAGGACTTCGAGAACCGCAGTTCCACTGGGATCCCCTTTTCTGCTCCCATGTACTGAATTGAAGGTCTGGCCCCACCCACCCATCCGTGCTGGAGCTTCCCGTTGTGTGTGTAATGGGGTCGGTAGGCTACCCTCCTGCTTGTCACAGGTGCTCTGACGAGGTTGCACTACTGTGCTCTGAGAAGCAGTGCAATGATATTGTCAAAGCATCTGGGACTAGCCTTGGGGACCTCCCTCCCCCATAACCCTCACCTCCCACTCCCCAGGCTGAGGCCCCCTGGGCCTGCAGGCCCTCCCCACCCCCCTGTCCAGTTCACTCCCTTCTCCATGGAAACTTGAGATTCTAGCCAGGCCTGGGCCTCTGGGGTCAGAGGGCACCCTTCCCCCAGGCAGAGGCCTGCATTCCAGGTCTCAGATCACCACCAACCACCAGGAGGGAGGCACTGGCAGGCCTGCCCGACACTCTTTCCCTGTTGCACTACTGTGGGCCACTGGGAAGCAGTGCAATGATGAAAGGGCATCGGTCAGGTCCACTTGGCTGGAAGGGGGTTTGCTGCCTTACTTCACTTCCCAGCTGAGAAAGTTGAAGTGCCAAGAGGGTAAGTGTTGGACCATTTAGGCACTGTACAGAGCTGGACCAGACCCTCTATCAGAGGCTCAGGGGGTGCAGAGCTGGGTGGTTGTCCCCTGAGCATTCCATCTTGGTCATGGCTGGGTAGGGATAGGAGCAGAGTCCCTAAATTCAGAAAAGCTCTGATTTGGAGGTCTTTCCACATTGGCTCCTTGGGGCAACACTGAGGAATCCAGAACTGGTCAGGGCCTCATGGAGAAACAGAGGCCAACAACTTCGCATGGAGGGTCTTTCCAGGCTTTGCTTGGACCCAGCCCTCCTTAAAGATTTAAAGAGGGCCAGGGTCTGTCTAGAGAGCTCTGGGGAGAATGTTCCTCTGGGTGGGAGTTAGGGAGGTAGGTAGCACAGACCTTCTGGGATGCAGCTTTCCCACCAGGCCATCAGTCACCTCTGGGCTCAGCTGGAGCAGCAATATCTGGGATGGTTGGGTGGACTTGGGATAGGAAGACTGCAAGTGGGCCAGGCGTGGTGGCTCACGCCTGAAATCCCAGCACTCTGGAAGGCCAGGGCTGGCAGATCGCCTGAGCTCAGGAGTTTGAAACCAGCCTGAGCTAGAGTGAGACTCTGCCTCTAAAAAAAAGTAGCCAGGTGTTATAGTGGGTGCCTGTAGTCCCAGCTACTAGGGAGGCTGAGGCAAGAGAATTGCTTAAGCCCAGGAGTCTGAGGTTGCTGTGAGCTGTGAGTCACAGCACTCTACTGAGGGCAACAAAGCGAGACTGTCTCAATTAAAAAAAAAAAAAAAGACTGCAGGTGATGCCCATCAACCATGCCAGGTTGTCTCTTACAGAGGTATGTCCTGTGCCTATAGGAGGGATTGTAAGGTGTCAGACGTGCCTGCCCTATCTGGAATGTGGGGAGGGGGTGAGGGGTGGTGTTGGAGCTGAACTTTCAAGCTGGACCCCAGACTTGTAGGGCCACCTCTACTCATCTGGGCCTGACACAACACAAATGTGTCTATGTGCCCAGTGACAGTCATTCAAACCTGTCACCTTGACAGATGGTCCAAGTTTCCAGATGGTCTTTCAGGAGTACCCCTCACCCCTGGCTGGACACATTGGGATACTTACTCATTCCCACCCTGGAGGTAGAAGCCCTGGCACCGATGGGGGAGCCGAGGGGCAATGACTTGTGTTCCTCTGACTCCTAGACCTGACCCCTTAGGTTTCCTTGATCCCAGAGTCACCTGGCTCATCTCCCTTCCTTTGGGCTCTAGGGGCCAGGGTTGGAGGTGGCCAATCCTGTGTGGTTCTTTATTCACTGGCCAGAGAGCCCATGCAGCTGACTCCTGCTCTTGTGAATTCTGGCTCTGCTCCATTGTTTCCTCCTGGGGAAAGCCTTTCCTGGGCTCCATGGCATTGAATGTTCCTCCAGCAGGTCCTATTAGATAAAAATGTTCAACCTGTGACTGAAGGCCCCATTAGATTGAGAACCCCTGAGGGCAGAAACTACTGTCATTTTCTCTCTGTCCCTCCCCCTCCTCCTCCTTTTCCTCTCTCATCAGTACCTGAATCAGAGAAGGGGCCCAGTACACCCCCCCCCCCCCGCTTTTGAACCTGCTGGACTATGTGCAAGTACACTTTTAAAAAACACAAATAGGCTGGGAGTCCATAGCTCAGTGGTTAGGGCACTGGCCACATGCACCAGAGCTGGTGGGTTCGAACCTGGCCGAGGCCTGCTAAAACAAACAAACAAAAATAGCCAGGTATTGTGGTGGGCACCTGTATTCCCAGCTACTCCGGAGGCTGCAACGAGCATCACTTAAGCCCAAGAGTTTGAGGTTGCTGTGAGTTGTGATGCCATGGCACTCTACTGAGGGTGACAAAGTGGGACTCTGACCCCCCCAAAAATTAAAAACAAATTAAAAACACAAATAAACCTATCAAGTGTGAAGCACAGTTATTAACATGATGGGAGGGCAAGGAGGGATGTTTGACCCTCAAAGGGTAGTTGACCTGTTTGAAAAAAGGTACATCCTACAAATTTTAGAGTTTCATTTTGTAAGTCACCCAGGGAACAGGAAGCAGAATGGAGATTTTGAACACGGGTATCTGACTTGAGTGTCTGCCTGTACCCCTAGGGAAGATGCACAGGACAGACCTGTTGTCCCCACCTTGCTCTGTGGCCTCCAAGCAGAAGGAAGTGTATGCCACCTCCTATGTCAGGGAGAGCTTGGTCTAGAGGGCTGGTGCTTGGCAGTAGGAGGTGAAAAATCTTCTGGGCTTCTCAGGTGGGGGATGTTGAGGGATAGGGAGGAAGCAGTGCAGGGTGCAACCCCTCGGTAGTGGCTGGGCTGGATGGGAGGGTCAGCTGCTGACCAACTAGAGTGGGGTGATAAGCTGCATTCAGGGGGAAGAAGCTGTGTGAATCTGCATGTGTTCACCATGAGATGCCCCCAAATCGTCCCCAGTGAACATCTGAGAGGCAGCTTTGAGTTTGTCCAGTCAGTTCTGGGTTGTCATCAGGACTGAAGAATGGGTGAGATGGTCCCAGATGGTATGAGGACCACGGGATCTTCAGAAATGCATCCGAGGGCAGGAGGAAAAGGACACTGAGGAGGGGACAGAGACGGAGGTGAAGAGGCAATGGTGAGTAGCGAGCTAGGGAAGGAGAGAAAGGACAGAGGTGGAGGGACTAGAGGACTTAGGAGCTGTGTGAAGAAGCCCTGGATGGGTAGGCAGTAAGGCTTGAAGCCAGGGATGCTCCGTGGGAGGGGAGTGGAGGCCAGCGGAAGGTTGGGGAGCCTTAAAAGAAGGTGTATGCTCCAGAAAGACTTTAGACTTAAGGGGGAAAAAAAGATAAAAATAAATAAAGTTGGAAGCGATGATCGCGCCACTGTAGACTAGCCAAGGCGACGTCGCAAAAAAAAACCCAACCCACAAAAACTAAACAAAACACGCAAAGAAGCTGGAAGAAAGACTTCGGGCACTGGCCAAGCCCTCTGAGTGGCCGCAGCCCCTCGGGGATCAAAGACCAGGTGGTCCTCAGAGTCGTAAGTGTAGCCAGGTCCTCCCCCTCGAAGTCCCCATGGCGCATGCTCTGAGCGGGAGGGGCATTGTCACGTGCGGCCGTGGCGGGGACGGGCTCCGCCCCCGGCCTCGGCGCCGATTGGCTGGACTGGCCGCTGCAGTGGGCGCGGCAGCCGGCGTTTGCATTGCGGCTGTGGGGGAAGAGACTGGTATGTCCCTGAGGCTCCCAGCCACCCTTGGTGACCCCCAGCCCTGGCCCTCCGGAGCAGCCCTCCCTCCTGGCCCCCGGGCGGGTGGGGGTCGGTGCGCTCGGACCCTGGGAGCCCTACCCCGACGGCCGCCCCTCCCCCAGGCAGCCCGGGCCCGCCAGCAGCTCCTCTGGATGGAGGTCCTAGACGAGTTCGACAGCGAGTTCCCCCAGAGTGTGACCTTCTGCCAGCTCATCTCCGAGGAGGACTTCGAGAGGCAGGCGGCGACCTACACGGAGCGCGCTCTGCGTCGCCTCTTCCGCAGCCTCGATCGTAACCCGGCGCTGGCGGAGAGGGTGGTGCGCAAGGGCAAGCAGACGGAACTCGAACAGCGCGGACTCCTCTCCTTCCTCTGGGTGCGGCTGCAGGACTCTGCAGTTTGGAGATTTGGGGGCAGGTGGGGGGAGGGCGCCGTGGAGCGCCTGGAAGTCTAAGTCTTTCCCCCTTAAGTCTAAGGGAATGAGCAGGCGTCTTACTCCTCGGGCTTCCTCCTGCCCGGCCTCTTCCACTGTTGTTGCAGGCGAAGTTCTTCACTGCTGTCCAGGGGGAACTGAACCATTGCAACGGCATGGGCGCTCTGGAGATGCACCAGCGCCTGGAGCAGCTGAAGCGGGGGATCCAGCGCGTACACCTCTACTCCCGGGGTGAGACTGGGGCTCTGCTCATGCTGGTCTGAGCCAAGGGCATCCAGGCCAAGGGCCGAGGGACTGACTCAGGTCCATTTTAGGTGGCCAACTCTCCCAGTTGGATTTGCCATCTTGGATTAGGTTTTATCCAGAGGAGGAAAGGGGCCTGGGCAGGCTGCTCCTACCTGGATTAGCTGGTTACAAGATTGACTTAAGGGTCGCTGCTTCTTGGCTGCGTGATCCTGAGCAATTTGGGTCACCTCTGAGCCAGAGAGCCCTTGTGGCCACCCTTACAGGGAGAGTGGAGTTTGGAGTTGTGGGTGAGGAACTGCAGGCAGTGGCTGGCTCAGGACCCACTTGTCTGTGGCCCTATGCTTGGCTCTTTCTGTAGAAAAAAAAGTTTTTATTGTGAAAGTAAGCATACAGAAAACTAGAGATGACAGTAAACACCCAACTGCCTGTCACCAGCCTCGGCAACCATACCTATGGTAGGTGTGTTTCACTCTCCGTTCTCCTCCCCTTTGCTTTTTTCTGGAGTATTTAAAGGGAAATGTCAGATATCAGTTTACCTCTGAATAGTGTGCACCTTAATTTAAAAAAACCCCATGATTTTCTAATATAATCACAATGTCATTGTTACATTTGAGATAATTAAGAATGGTTCTTTAATATTAGTTGAGCCGGCGGCACCTGTGGCTCAAGTGGCTAGGGCACCAGCCACATACACCTAAGGTGGCAGGTTCGAATCCAGCCCGGGCTCACCAGACAACAATGATGGCTGCAACCAAAAAAAAAAAAAAAAATAGCCAGGCGTTGTGGCAGGCGCCTGTGGTCCCAGCTACTTGGGAGGCAGAGACAGGAGACTCACTTGAGCCCAGGAGT